TTTTCAACTGGGCGAATAAATTGGAGCGAGCCAAAGCATTTGTTATTTATTACCACAAATTTAATGTACATTTAATATTAAGGCAACAATCAGCCATTTTTGGACCTGTAAAACAGACTATTTATTTTGTATGGCCTGAGATATAAGGCATCTGATTGGTTAATCTTAAATGGTTTATTAATCTAACCAATCGGATGACTGCAACAATAAAATCTGTGAGGTTGAGTCAGCATTTATATGTGCATCAGCGACACTTATAGTTTATCATTTCAATTTCCTGTTTGACATCTTGGATGAAAGCAAATATTTTTTTGGGGATAGTGCTAGAGTTCCAGGAACTTCAGATGTCAGACATGAAATAAAAATGGTGAAACCAGAAGCTAAGTGCATGTTCAAACCTAATAATATTTGGTAACAATTCAGGCCCTATAGGTGAAGAAAAATACTACAATGAAAAAAATAAATATGTAAACATATCGTGGGTGATCGCTTGAAACATTGTATATGCCATATTTGGTACATATTTTGACTTTTTGGTATCGTTCGAAAGCTGGTAAAAGCGTGGATCTTGTGATCAAAACCTCGTATTCTTAGCCTGATTGTAAATAACTCAAAAACCACTAATTAAATAACACGTATATAAACAGTCAGATTTAAAACCTTGTAAAATATATTATACGAGGTTCAATGTTCCTTTTTCTGAGGATGAAAATGAAAAACCTTGTATACTGTATTATTATACGAGTTTTTGGTTCAATAGGCCCGGAGATCTCAAATTGTTATACGAGGTTTATATTTTCAAAGAATGAAAACCACGTATAGCGGTTAAAAAAATAATAAAAAAGATTTTAACAAAATACGCGTACAAATAGTTTTTTGCGTTTTCTCGAAAAGTAATTTCACGTCATATATTGTTATACGAGGTTTCAAGCGGTCACCCACGATATAACTCTTATTAATATACTATATAGATAGTTGTTTCATAAAATTCTGTGGGTTAATTCACTCATTCTAAATGAAATCTAGTTTAACATCCTACTTTTCTACTCAAAGTTGATCAAAGGATAGGTCAGGTCTTGGCTATAGATATTTAAGCAAGTTCTATGACTAGATATGGAACACAATATATCCAAAAAACAATAGCTTGCCAGGCAATATAACATACATCCACTATGTAATAAAAAAATATAACATTTACAATAAAGGGGAAATGATTTTGCCAAACTAAACTATTTTTCATAAATCTAATCAAATTTAGTTAAAATTTCCGTTCGATTTTTATTAGTTTTTATTTTTAACGTAGCCACTTAAACATTCTATACATTTAACCTAAACCTGCTTTAACCAATCAAATTCCTGCCCAATCCAGAGCTGGCATTTTGTGAGCGAGTGAAGGAATTTTATTGGTTAAAGCAGAGGTCATCAGGTTAGGTCAAAAGGTTATTATTATTAAGAGGCCAGTCTTTAGACCCTAACTGAAATGGCTACATTTAAAAAAAAAAAAAAAAAAAAAATGAAATGAAATTTTGAATTTTTCCATATCTGTTTTATTTGAAAATAATGTAAAATTGGCTATAATTTTGCATATCAGCCCACGATTAAAAACTATTACAGAACTTCAATGGAATCAGTGAAAACACTCAAGGCGTTAAAGCACTTAAAAAAAAATTGGCAAAAACATGCCCCCTTATAAAAAAAAGATATATAAATTTTGATTCTTAACATGGAGACAGATAAGTGTATTATTAACTTTAACATAAAAAGGGCATTAGGAAATTTCCAATTGGAAGCACTTCAACAGTAATATATGTGGATAATAATGCCGTTTTGACAAAAAAAATCGCTTGCCACATTTCGAAAAAAAAGTCTAAAAATAAAAATTTGTCAAAAGTTTGGAATTTTACATTGATAAAAATTATCCCAATTCTTTTTTTGTAAGAAACAGGGGCATGCAACTTAAACTTAACAAAATAAATACTAAATGTAAATTTCAGCTGAGCAGTTAAATGTGATCATTTTTTTAAAAAAAGGCTGAATATCGTGGGTGACCGCTTGAAACCTCGTATATGCCATATTTGGTCATTTGACATTTTGGTACCTCGTAAAAGTGCGGATATTGTGATCAAAACCTCGTATTCTTAGCTTGATTGTAAATAACTCAAAAAGCACTAATTAAATAACACGTATATAAACAGTCAGATTTAAAACCTTGTAAAATATATTATTATACGAGGTTCAATGTTCCTTTTTCTGAGGATGAAAATGAAAAACCTTGTATACTGTATTATTATATGAGTTTTTGGTTCAATAGGCCAGAGATCTCAAATTGTTATACAAGATTTATATTTGAATGAAAACCATGTATAGCAGTAAAAAAAATAATAAAAAAGATTTTAACAAAATACGCGTACAAATAGTTTTTTGCGTTTTTTTCGAAAAAGTAATTTCGCGTCATATATCGTTATACAAGGTTTCAAACGGTCACCCACGATCATCAAAAGTTATTTCATAAATTGGTTTAAATAAAAATAAAAAATTATGGACACATAAAAAAAGAATATCACAATTTGTGGGTCTTAAATGCTGTTTACTTCGATACTATACTTTCAAAAATATACATTGCATAGGCTAATTTTTTGAGTACACTGGTCCCCAATTCTCTCAAAAACTTTTGGATGACTTTTGCTGCAAGCCCTATGATCAGTATGGTCGTTTTCACGTCTGTAAATTTTGACGGTAAGATTCTTGGAGATTTGGGGACTAGAATACTCAAAATTTTTGGAGATCTGTAACGAGTTTTAATATAAAAATTTTTTAATATCATGTCGGTACCCTGGTGACCCTTGCTTAAAGATGGGTTTCCTTATTTTTTAAGTGTTAAATTAAGCAAACTATTTGATTAATTGGTGTTTCTAATGAATTATCATGTATTCTTAATCATATCATTATGTTCTTATTGCATATAATTAAGAGTTTTAACCAATCATAAATGTTCATGTACGTACAGTCTGGATAAACAAAAAAAATGACTTTTTGACCTTTCTTGATCGGTCACTCATTGGAATTCTGCTGTTAATTCTCTTCTAATTTAGCTAATTATGAATTAATTATAGACATGTGAGACAAACTGGTATTTTTCCAAGTCATTAAAACACCTCTACTTTCTATTCATATAAGTATTAGCATTTTCATTTTCATGAAAATAAGGGAACCCATCTTTAAGATTAAATACCTCATTTTGCACTTGACTGAATTTCAATAGCGAAAGTCTAATTTTTGAAACCTTAATAAATCTCATTTGGGAATACAGGCATCTGATAGGCCCATAACACAAAATTTACAATTGGGTTTTCTGATTGACCAATCGGACTGAAGGATCCAAATTAAGAATGTGTCTTCCTTAGAGCTGAATTTGTAGACAAAAAATCACGAGTAAATGTTTCTAAAATCAATTTTGTTTCAAAAAGGAAATTTCTGCACTTTTAAATTTGAATAATATGGTTTTTTTCTAAACAGGTTTCTGATCCCCTTATTTAACTTAACTTAACTTAATTTAACTTAAAGTGATACTACGTCTTAGAATTAACATAAAATTTAAGAATTTTAAACTTGGCAAATAAGAGCCAGTAGATATACCTGGTGTCATAAATAACATAACAGGATCCTTATATAATCCGATAAATCCAAAAAACTTAGTAATTATCCATAAATATGCAATTAACTATTGAAAAACACTTAATATTAACATTAAGCGTTTTTCAATAATTACTTAGTTTTATGAATTTTCCAATTTTCTAGATTTTACAGGGATTCTGTTGTAACTTTATGACACCAGGTAAGTTCACTGATGAATATATACTCATATTGACCATTTCGAGAACTTAAATTTTATGTTCATTTTAAGACTTAGTATCAATTTAACCTTTAAGTAATTTCAACTTCAGTCAAAGCTTCAAAACAGGGACAATTCAAAACAAATAGGCACAGTCCATTTTATATTGAGAGGTAATTTTAGAAGTAAGATCACAATAGTACTCTGTTTTGTATAATTTCAATTTTCAATTCTGTTACCCCAATACAAAATAGACTGGTCCTGTTATGTTCGGAAACTTGTGCAGGCTATAAAAGTCATGATAAATATGATATGTTTTGAAGTGTTTTGAGTATAGAGGATTAACTCCCTTTGAGACATGTCACAACCATAGAATTTTAATACAAGGCTTTTCATTGGATAAAAACATAGCACTAAAAATATGTGTCCTTGATAACTATTGGGTATAAAATACAAATAATCAAACCATATCTTACAATTGTGTGTGGTGAGCCTCAACTCTTGGACAATGGCCTTGTGCGGATATGAATTATGAATTTGGGTATACATTTCAATAATCCTTTTCCACTTTAAGCTAAGATTCCAGATACGCGTCATGTGGACATAAATGGCCCTTGCGGATCCGTCATGCGTCAAATATGATTCCATATGTGCGTTTAACGTCTGCGTTATCTTTCTTTTAACGCATGGACCTCTAGACAGGTGGATACTTTGGTGCATAAAAAAGAGAGGGAATCCCCACAAAATACGTCACATTTGGGAGATCTCCACGCAGAAAGGCGTCCGGATATGTCAAAAATCGCTACACCCTTGGTTTTTTTTTGACGCATGACGGAGACCTTTTGACGGATACCGCTTCCACTTATATGGAATCATACCCTCTTAAACCAACCATTTCGATTTTTAACGCATGACGGATGACGAATGACGTGTATATGGAATCTTAGCTTTATAGTGGGTTGCAATCTTCAGCCAAACCAAAAGGTGGCACGAAACAGGTTTTCAATACCAACAGCAGACCAGCAATAATCCGTTTTGCTCAATCTTGGGCAATGAGTCTTCAGCCTATCTGAGAATAGGTGAGATTCCTCCACAATTTCAACGACAATACTCTGAGTCTTCAGCCAAGATTATTCAAATCAAATCTTGTATATTCACCAGAAGACGATCACGAGAAAATTTTTTTGGTTCGTTGTAAAGCTTCTTGTACTTTGGCAATATTGGCGTCCAAGTTTGCGATTCCTTCGCGGAAGGCAGAATCATCCACAGCTGTTGATGTTGAGGACTCTGATACTGATGACATCACAGATTGAACATCGTCCTGTATTGAACCTAATGAAATGTTGAATTCTCTCCCCTTAATCTCTTCTTCATTGGAGGTAGGAATGGGTGATAGACGGTCTGATTTATCTAAAGTATTTGACGAGTATTTCTTGAAATAGTCAGTAACACTGTAACGTGATTGGTCATTTGAGATCACATGTTCAGTAATATTTGCATTCTGGTCTGTTTTTTTCAGGTCTTTCTGGTTGTCAACAGGTTTAGTCGTCATGGTAACTGCATTATGTCGTGTGGTTTTTAATATACGATTATGTTCCGCTAATGCATTCTGGGTCAATGGAGAATTGCTGTGTCTCGATGCAGCGTTGAATTCTACATGCTGATTGGTTGAAGGTTTTAGTATCGAGACTGATCCTGGATCAGATCGCATACTTTTATCTGAGCTGAAACAAAATTTTAATAAATTGACAAAAGAAAAAAATGGCACAGAAAAAAGTTGATGGGGACAAGAAAATAAGATGGACAAGAGAGAAGACATTGCATTTACCATGAAATGAAATAACATGAATGGAGTTTTACGTCCTACATTTCTGACGAAAAGACGTACAACGCCATGCAGTGAGGGAAATTTTGCCAGGACAGCGGCATTAGCCTGCTCTATTTCGATTTCCAACTGTCGAGGATCTTTAACGTGCAGAGCCTGTAGCACACGGGGCCTCAGTTTATTGTCCCATCTGAACGACTAGACGCTTTTTCCATGTCAGCCCCTCTTACCTACATCACTGACATGGGGAAACCGGGTTGAAAAATCCGAAGGTTTCATCTCGATCTATGCCGGGATTGAACCTTGGACCTTCAGGTTACTGAGCAAGCGTCTAACTCACTGAGCCGCCGCGGCTCCCTGCATTTGCCATGAAGAATCAGTTTAAATGAATTGAAATGGAGTTTTACATCCTGCTTTGTTTTCACTTTATTTGGCTACTGAACACGGGCAAAGCCTCATGAGGTAAATTTTGCCAGGAAAACAGCATTAAAGATGGGTTTCCTTATTTTTTAGTTTATTTTTTGATTAATTGGTGTTTCTTATGAATTATCATATATTCATAACCAGTTTTAACCAATCATAAATGTCCATGTCCATCTGGATAAACAAAAAAAGACTTTTTGACCTTTCTTGATCGGCATCTCACTGGAATTCTGCTGGTAATTCTCTTCTAATTTAGCTAATTATGAATTAATTATGGACATGTGAGACAAACTGGTATTTTTCCAAGTCTTCAAAACACCTCTACTTTCTATTCATATAAGTATTAGCATTTTCATTTTCATAAATAAGGGAACCCATCTTTAACCTATTCTTTCTAGATTTTCAAATGTCAATGTACAATGTACATGCCTTTTTAGAGAAACATTTGTAAAGATGAGACACCTTTCTATGTCAGTCCTTCATACATATTTCACCCCCTCCCCTTCTTAACACAATAAGATATCAAACCTGGCATGGTAGTTTTCCTGTTGGACCAGCTGTAATAACCTTTGAAGACTGATACTGGCCCGAGGATTGTCTGTGTCAGGAGCAGGAACCGAGGGCACACCTCTATTATTACCAGATTGGTTTTCAATACACCCTAATACTTCATTTACTCCATCTTTTAATGTGCTGCAAAAATTATAAAAGGAGTTTTACATCCAAGGGTGTAGTCGAACCGGATGTCCACATGACATTCAATAAATGCTTTACCATCCTGCACAAAATAAGTAATTTATAAACGCAATTTAAAGATGGGTTCCCTTATTTTCATCTATGAAAATGCTAATACTTATATGAATAGAAAGTAGAGGTATTCTAATGACTTGGAAAAATACCAGTTTGTCTGACACTAAAAAATATTAAGGAAACCCATTGCAAAAAAGTGATACAGATAGCTAAATTGAGGCTTATCAGCTGAAGCACATATTGTTGGTGACCGTTTGAAACCTCGTGTAACGATATATGACGCAAAATTACTTTTCGAGAAAAACGCAAAAAAATATTTGTATGCGTATTTTGTTAAAATCTTTTTTATTATTTTTTTACCGTTATACATGGTTTTCATTCTTGGAAAATATAAACCTTGTATAACAGTTTGAGATCTCCGGCCTATTGAACCAAAAACTCGTATAATAATACAGTATACAAGGTTTTTCATTTTCATCCTCAGAAAAAGGAACATTGAACCTTGTATAGTAATATATTTTACGAGGTTTTAAATCTGACTGTTTATATACGTGTTATTTAATTGGTGGTTTTTGAGTTATTTACAATCAAGCTAAGAATACGAGGTTTTGATCACAAGATCCGCGCTTTCACGAGCTTTCGAACGTTACCAAAAAGTCAAAATGACCAAATATGGCATATACAAGGTTTCAAGCGGTCACCCATCATCTTGAATAAAACTTACTGTACAACTTCTTGCAACCTTTCGATTTCGGAATCTCGTTGCTTAAGGGAGATCTTTAAAATATGGTTTTCTCGGTCTGAAGCCTCAAGTTTTAAACTACTTCCTTCGGTTCGAGTCTGTGCCAAAGCCAAATCTTGACGTAATTTCTGGTTTTCTTGTGAACTTTCTTGTCGGAGCTTGAGCCTGTCAGTATCCTGTACAAAAGAAATTTTCAAACTGTAGAGGTTAAAGGGCGATAACTCCTCAAAACTGACGTAAGAGGCCTAAATCTTGAAAAAGCCTTAAATTTAATCAGAAGTAAACTAAACTTTCTCAAACCTTTCGATTAAGGTCCAATAACATCCATTTTAAGTTTCATCAAAATCGGTTGAAAACTAAGAGAGTAATAGCATATTCAAGATTTGGGGCAAGGGCAATAACTCTGCTTCTAACAGTTGAAAATAGCTCAAATTCAAAATTGATCTTCGTTTTATGTATATGTATACACATACCGAATTTGATTTGATTCGATCTAAAAATCTAGTTTTTAGAGCGTTTACATGCAAATGTTGACGGACGGACAGGGGTGCCGACAATATACACCCACATAGAGAGATGTGGGCGTATAAAAAGGAACCCAACAACAATGCGATTTTGAGTTGCCAAGGGTTTTGTTTAGTCAAGGCCAAGCTGGTAGAAAGGAACCCTGGAGTGGGATATTATCCACATGCTTTTTACCTTTTCACCAAGAGCTAGAAGTAAAGTCTGTCGTTCTTGTTTATATTTATCCTTCTCTCTCTCCAATTCTTCAATCTGTTTAGAGAGTTTCATTTGTTCTTCTTTCTCTTCCTTTAGCTGTCTTTGTAAGCTGCTGTTATTAGCTTGGAGTTGTAGAACTGAAATACAAGATCGGATGAATGATAAATGTATATAACTGGTAAACTTCTACTGCTTTTGTGATGGTTGTTTTGTTGTTTTTAGTTTCTTTTGTATTATATATTGTGTTCTTTTGAAGGGCAAAATTGTAAAAAGGCCAGGCCTAATTTTCACGATGATGATGATGAATGATGATGGATATGGATTGATGATGATGATGATTATTATGATGATTATTATTATCATTATTATGATGCTGATTATTATTATGATGATGATTATTATGATGATGATTATGATGATGATTATTATGATGATGATGATTATTATTATCATGATTTTTATTATGATTATTATTATTATTATTAAAGAAAACGCTCCCACTAAACGCTATTCCTTTCAAAAATGCCTCTTGAATACTGTGATCTAATCAGTAAAATTTTCTGGAAAGGGTTAAGTATTAGTGTTGAAACGGTTAATCAGTTAACCGATTTCGGGTAGTATTTCAAGGGTAACTGGGTCTGATTTGAGACAATCGGTTAACCGTCAATTTTATAAGAAGTAAAAAGAGAGCAAGTTTTGTTATTATTTTTATTATTTCAATCGGGTACGAGTTGCTTAGAATAAAACAGTTATAAAGATCATATTACTTTTTATTAACTCTCATCTCATTGGCTGTTTGTTTCTTCTTGCCTGTCAATCAGCTTCAAGCTTATTAATATTCATGAGTACAGATTCATTGAGACAATGGTTTTATACCAGTTGTGGAACCAGTACACTGATTCACGGTGACTTCAATGAGATACACTCATTACACTGACCCCACAACTGGTATAAAAACCTTTGATCTGTTAGAGACTGTAGCAATGAGTGACAATGGCACCAGTCCAACTCTGAACTCTTGTCAGGCTCGCTCGTAATCTTACATTGAAGCAGTTTGGTATTTGTCGATTTGTACCGACAATTCGCGGGGAACTAGCCAAAATCTTCCTGGGTATTCATTTACACTTACTGTAGTTTAGTTAACGGTGAGTTACTGTCGCAAATGTGGTTTTTGACTCTTTTTTATAATCTTTAGTAATGAACCGGGATTAACCGTGTAACAAACGGTTATAGCCGACGATTACCCAATTAGTAAGATTCACTAACCGTTTCAACACTAATACTTACGCTAGTTTAGTTAATGGTGAGTTACTGCCACAAATGCCGTTTTTGACTCTTTTAATAATCTTTAGTAATGAACCGGGATTAACCGGGTAACAAACGGTTATTGCCGACGATTACCCGGTTCGCTAACCGTTAAAACACTATTAAGTATAGTACAAATCTTACCTTGAAAATTAACCCCACTTGAAGTACTAGCTTCTTTTTCTAATCTTTCTCTTTCCTTCAGTTGTTGATTTACAATTCTTAATCTCCTGGAAAAAAGTAAGAAATATTGAGAAATTCTCAAACATCATTTTATGGCTATGTGATATACTATTTCTATCAAATGACAATTGCAATCAATCTAATAGAAATTTCAAACTTCTAAAGTCAAGATTCCATATATGCAGAGCGTCATGCGGACATAAATGGCCCTTGCGGATCCGTCATGCATCAAATATGATTCCACATGTCCGTTAAACGTATGCGTTATATTTCTTTTGATGCACAGACTTCTAGACAGATGGATGCTTTGGTGCATAAAAAAGACAGTGAATCCCCACAAAATATGTCACATTTGGGAGATCTCCGCGCGGAAAGGAGTCCGGATGCGTCAAAAATCGCTACACCAGACGATTTTTTTTTTGACGCATGACAGAGACCATTTGACGGATACCGCTTCCGCTTATATGGAATCATACCCTCTTAAACAACACCCTGCAGTGTGCAATGACAAATTTTGTCTACTCATGCTGATATCAAGGTATTGAAGAATCTTTTACGCTTCAGTATTTGAGTCTCAACTCTTTTTCATGCTAGGCCCTCAGACCTACATCACAGAAAAAAAGGCTTAAGGTTTTGTCAACTTCCAAGATCAAAATATGTTTTTTAAAGATTTGGTCATTCATATCCTTGGTCGTACAAAAAAAACGCAACCCACTGGTCGAGTCTGCCTATTGTTATATATTTTTGTAAATCCTGTACAAATTGGACGACAGCACTAACACAAAAAATGTCAGTGTTCGGTGGTTCGTAAAAAAAAACGCAACCCACTGGTCGAGTCTGCCTATTGTTATATATTTTTGTAAATCCGGTACAAATTGGACGACAGCACTAACACAAAAAATGTCAGTGTTTCGTACAAAAAAAAACGTAACCAACTGGTTGAGTCTGCCTATTGTTATATATTTTTGTAAATGCTGTACAAATTGGACGACAGCACTAACACAAAAAACGTCAGTGTTCGGTGGTTCACAAGAACCTGTAAAGATAGCGTATAACCTACCGTCTTAGTTGACTGTTTTCAGTACGTAATGGTTGCAATGCTAGCTCTATCTCTGTTTGAAGATTAAAAGTAAGTTTCAACTGTGGTATGGATTCCAGGGTGTTTGATAAATCTTGAGCTAACTGACACATATCAGGATCACCTACAATTCAAAGTTCACTTATTTAACTTACTTAAAGATGGGTTCCCTTATTTACATTTATGAAAATGAAAATGCTAATACTTATATGAATAGAAAGTAGAGGTGTTCTAATGACTTGGAAAAATACCAGTTTGTCTCACATGTCCATAATTAATTCATAATTAGCTAAATTAGAAGAGAATTTCAATGAGTGACCGATCAAGAAAGGTTAAAAAGTCTTTTGTTTATCCAGACTGTACAAACACAGACATTTTTGATTGATTAACTTTTAGTTACATGCAATAAGAACAAAATGATATGATTAAGAATACATGATAATTTATTAGAAACACCAATTAATCAAATAGTTTGCTTAATTTGACTTAAAATTAGTGAGTTAGACGCTTGCTCGCTAACCTGAAGGTCCAGGGTTCAATCCCGGGATAGGTCGAGATAATACCTTCGGATTTTTCAACCCGGTTTCCCCCTGTCAGTGATGCAGGTAAGAGGGGCTGACATGGAAAAAGCGTCTAGTCGTTCGGATGGGACAATAAACCGAGGCCCCATGTGCTACAGACTGTGCACGTTAAAGATTCCTCGACAGTTGGAAATCGAAAAAGAGCAGGCTAATGCCGGTGTCCTGGCAAAAATTTCCCTCATTGCAACCTGCATGGTGTTGCCCGTCTTCATTAGCCCACATGGTGCAGAAAAGTAGGACATAAAACTCCATTCATTTCATTTCAACAACAATGAATAGCCCATGCACATTACTCACCATCAATGTCACAGACTTCCAATAACTCTGCAAGCAGCCATCTTAACTTCTTAACACCAGCAGTTGGATCATTGGTTGTTGGAATGGGTTGCCCATAATCTCCCTTTAATTCGCTCTCCTTTACTGGAGGTGCTTCGACTCTACCATTGAAAAATGGTCGAACAGGGGAATTCATTGGAGTATCGTAATTCAAATGTGGAAACTGAGCTTTGATTGGTTGAACAGGAAATGCAGTAGACATCTGAGGGAAGGCTTCAGCATCTTTCAGTGGTTCGGCATCATCAGGAAATTCAGGGTCCTGCATGCCTTCTGTTTTATCGGACAAAATAGTCCTTAAAAAGGGATGATCAGATTTTTTTGGTTGCCCTTGGTTACCTTCTGCAGCTAACTGTGAAAGCCGAGATGAACTTTGACTTCGTGGACGAGGAAATCTCATTGGTGAGTTAGCTGGCGTGTCAGAAAGATAACCAAAGCGTGCAAAATGTGGTGGAAGATCTTTTATTTGGTGACGATCGGACATCACTTGTTCTTCTGTGGTCTCATCACCATCTTCTGTTGGGTACTCGATAACATTGATAAACAGTTCGTCATCCTGGAAATTAAAAAAAAATAATCAAAACCAAACTACAAAAGTTTTACTGTTTGGTTCTGATTGATCAAAACACATGAAATGCCATACAGTGCGCAATAAGGCAACTATTGGTAGGACAGCAATATTAGTCTACGATTTTCTATGTTCCTGCATCTAGGGCTGCAACGATTCCTAAAGTGGCGATCCGATACAATGAACGATAGTCGTTTAACGATAAAAATAAATAAAATACCAAACCATCGAATACAGCTTCATGGAATTATTTTATGACTATGCAAACACATATTACGTTGGAAAAAGAAAAAGTTTATATCAGATCCCATGTGTTTATCTTCCACTTGGCATATTAATATGTTCTCTTTTAACAAACAGACAAATTAATACGTGAAAAGCAATTTTTTAACATTTGAACATGACACAATTTCTAAAACACGCGAGGATTCCGTGCTATTAGTCATTAAAGGGAGTTAATTATATTTATGAGAATCGGGTTGATGAAGCGCGATTATTTTTTTTCGTCAGCAATGCATTGATAAGAAGGAACGAATCACGGTGAATCGTTGCAGCCCTATGCATCACTGAGAGGGGAAAAATAATTTTTGATCAATGTCAAAATCGAACCAGAGACTCTCAGGTTAGCGAACATGGCTGAGTCATTCCCAACTACAGGAGAGAGAGAGAAAATGCCTACCTCATCCATAACGCCTTGACCAGATTGATGTTTAGCTGGAGTTATCATGGGCTGTGACAAACTCTCATCATATCTATGGTGGTTGTACTCTCGTCTGCGATTCCAGTTTGTCGTGGCATCAGGTGTAGGTGATAATCGAGGAGAAAAATGTCCAGTCTGTTCCATAGAGCGTGGTGGACTGACTTTTTGTGGTGGACTGACACTTTGAGATGGACTACGTGGCTTCTGAGGCTCCGACTTCTCATCTGGGCTAAGAGCATGATGGGGTCTCCCCAAAATGGCACGAGCCCGAGGTTCAGCCATTCTGACCGGACTAGGCATAGGCGTCACACCTATATCAATGTTCAGAAATTTATTAGGTTTATGACTAGTTGGATATTGGATTTGATTGATAAATATGGTTTCTGCGGCTGTCGGTTGTGGCACTTCCAGTCTCCCAGTTTTCAAATTAGTGGTAGATGTCTTCGCAGCTTCTTGAAAATGTTTTAAGTTTTCGCGAAAATCTGGCACATCAGATCCGTCCTTTTCCACATGTTGTTCTTTAATGCTGAATTCATAACTGTCTGTTTGTCTTAGACTTGAATCGTTTCGTTTTTCACCCTGTTGATCATAGATATCATTCAAGGATTTCCGCGTCTGCTTAGGTGCTTTTAATCCAGCAGGTGGCGACACTTCATCATTATCAATGTAGCATTTGAGATCTTCAATGTTACTTTCCCGACGATTTTCGACTCTCTCGTATTCTTCCTCGGATTCAAAATTGATTAAATTTTTTCTATGAAGATCATCGATGCTGTCTGTGCTTAAGGGGCGTTGGTGGCAAGAATTTAAGGATGTTTCATTAGTTTTCGGACCACTCAAATCCAAAGGAGATTCAGTGCTTCGTTGACCATAAGCTAACTCATCAGTGCTGTAGCACTGTTTCCCATTTTTCAGTACTGCGTCTGGTCGACAAGGTGGTGTCATGTATTCAGGTCTGTGATTGGACAAATCTGTAGCGCTAGTTGTAACCTCGTTTGAACCGTTATTAACAATGTTGTGATGGTACAAGGAACTGCTGGAAATTTTATGGATATGAACGTAATTCTGATCTTGAGAAACATGAGCTTGGGCAATTGGACGCATCAAATCTCTGGCACTGACAAACTGCTGAGTCATTCCAACTGGAGCAGACGTTCTAGGAGAAGCTGAAGTCATGGTAACTACAGCTGATGTAACAGTCTGTCCATCATGTGTTTGAACTTGACTACTATTTCTGTTTTGAGTGTTAGCTTGCAAGGGGACATTACTCTCATCTATTTTATCAGGATCAGGAGTAGACGAGATCAGCCTAGTATTAAAAGGAGTTCTAACTTCCATCAAGGTTTCTTTGTAAATCACACGATTTGAGGCATTGGAACTATCTCCATCTGTAACAACAAAATAAGAAATTTTCAATTCTTAATATATTTAAAGATGGATTTCCTTATTTTTTTAGTGTCAAATTAAGCAAACTATTAGATTAATTGGTTTTTCTTATGAATTTTTATACATTCGTTACATATCATTATGTTCTTATTGCATATAATTAATAGTTTTAACCAATCATAAATATCCATGTATGTCCAGTCTGAATAAACTATTAAATACTTTTTGACCTTTCTTGATCGGTCACTCATTGGTGTCTTGAGCCAAACTGATAGACTTCATATTAGTTCATTCTTCAAATTTGCATCATTTAGGAAATGAAATGAAATGAATGGAGTTTTACGTCCTACTTTTCTGCACCATGTGGGCTAATGAAGACAGGCAATGCCACGCAGGGTGCAATGAGGGAAATTTAGTTAGAATTGGGCTAGTATAGAGGGGAAATGCCATGCAGTGTGCAAAGAGAGATTCCCAACTGTTGAATAAATCTTTAATGTGCACAACCTAGCATGGAACATAGAGGATTGGTTTATTAACAAATCTAATCAACTAGATACTTTTCTTTGTCAGTCTCTCTAACCTGAATCACTGACAGGAAAGGAGGAGAAACAGGAGTATTCTTACCTGGGTTGGCAGTTGGAATAATGATTTCTTTCTTGAAACCAGTTTTCTTACTTCCTCTTTTCTTAGATTCTGGACTAGCTTTCTCTTTCGCTGGAATTGAAATCAACTATTAAATGAGTCTTTGGCTACATCAACAAAACCAAGGGTAATAAACTCAGAGCTCTTCTTTGCATCATACTAAATGCTGAACATATATTGTCTCATCTCAGGTATCAAAAAATAGTGATGCCATCGTAATACGCCCACTTTTGTTATGGCAGCTAATTTGTCCGGGAGGTGACAAGAGTTATCAGAA